CTGAAAATGGTACAGAAGCTATGGAAAAGAGTTTGGCAGTTCTCCAAAAGCTGAGCATAAAATTACCATTTCATCCAATAATTCCATGCCTAGGTATATATACAGAAGAGAAATGAACAAGGTGACCAAATAAAAACTTGCACATAAATGTTCAAAGAAGCAATATTTATCATTACAAAGTGGAAACCACTCAAATGTCCATTAACTGATTAATGGATAAACAAAATATGGCATATTCTTACAATGTTGTTTTTAAGTACCACTGAGTCAACTCATAGCAACCCTATGGACAACAGAATGATTGCCTGGTTGTGCAATCCTTTCCTGTAAATCCTTCCTGTAACTGAGCCCATTGTGTCACATAGTTGCAGCCACTGTTTCAATCCATCTGGTTGAGGGTCTTCACCTTTTTCACTGACTCTCCACTTTACTGAGAATGATATTCTTCTACAAGGAATAGTCTCTTCTGACAACGTGAACAAAGTAGGTGAGACAATGTCTATCCATTCTTGCTTCCAAGGAGCATTCTGGCTGCTCTTCTTCCAGGACAGACTTGTTCTTCTGGCAGTCCACAGTACTTACAGTATTCTTCACCAACACCACAACTCAGAAGCATCAACTCTTCAGTCTTTCTTATTCACTGTCCAGCTTTCATATGCATATGAGGCAACTGAAAATGCCATGGGTTGGATTAGGCACACCTTACTCTTCAAAGAGACATATTTGCTCTTTAGCACTTTAAAGTGGTTTTTTGCAGCAGATTTGCCCAGTGCAACGTTGTTAGGTGCCATCAAGTCGGCTCTGACTCCTAGCGACCCAATGGACAACAGAACAAAACACTGCCCAGTCCTGTGCCAGTCTCACGATCCTTGCTAAACCTGAGCTCATCATTGCAGCCACTGTGCCAATCCATCTTGTTCAGGGCCTTCTTCTTTTTTGTTGACCTTCCACTTTACCAAGTATAATATCCTTCTCCAGGGAACGGTCCCTTCTGACACCATGACCAAAGCAGGTAAGATGAAGTCTGGCCATTCTCACTTCCAAGGAGCATTCTGGCTGCACTTCCTCCGGGACAGATTTGCTAGTTCTTCCGGCAGTCCATGGTACTTTCAGTATTCTTCACCAACACCACAACTCAAAAGCATCAACTCTTCTTCGGTCTTCCTTATTCACTGTCAGTTTTCACAGGTATATGAAGCAATTGAAAATACCATGGCTTGGGTTAGGCACACTTTAGTCTTCAAAGGGACATCTTTGCTCTTCAATACTTGAATGAGGTCTTTTGCAGCAGATTTGCCCAGTGCCACATGTCATTTGATGTCTTGACTGTTTCTTCCATGGGTGTTGATCATGAAACCAAGTAATATGAAATCTTTGACAACTTCAATCTTTTCTCCATTTAGCATGATGCTGCTTATTGGTCTAGTTGTGAGGATTTTCATTTCCTTTATGTTGAGATGCAATCCATACTATAGACTTTAGTCTTTAATCTTCATCAGTAAGTGCTTCAAGTCATCCTCACTTCCAGCAAGCAAAGTTGTGTCATCTGCATATCACAGGTTGTTAATGAGTCCTCCTCTAATCCTGATGCCACAATCTTCTTCATATAGCCCAGCTTCTCAGATTATTTGTTCAACATACAGATTGAGTAAGTATGGTGACAGGATACAACCCTGACACACTCCCTTCTTGATTTTAAACCATGCAGTATCCCTTTTTCTGCTTGAATGACAGCCTCTTGGTCTATGTACAGGCTCCTCATGAGCACAATTAAGTGTTCTGGAATTCCCATTCTTCTCAATGTTATCCTTAATTTGTTGTGATCCACACAATCAAATGCTTTTGCATAGTCAATAAAATACAAGTAAACACCTTTCTGGTATTCTTTGCTTTCACCCAAGATCCATCTGATACCAGCAATGATTTCCCTTGTTCCACATCCTCTTTTGAATCCAGCTTGCATTTCTGGATGTTCTCTGTCAATATACTGCTGCAACCATTTTTTAATTATGTTCAGTAATATTTTACTTGTGTGTGATATTAACGATATTGCTTGATAATTTCCACATTTTGTGAGATCACCTTTCTTTGGAATGGGTACAAATACAGATCTCTTCCAGTCAGTTGGCCAAGCAGCTGTCTTCCAAATTTCTTGGCATATCCAAGTGAGTGCCTCCAGTGCAGCATCTGTTTGTTGAAACATCTTGATGGGTATTCCGTCAATTCCCGGAGCCTTGTTTTTCACCAATTCCTTCAGTGCAGCTTCAACTTCTTCCATCAGTACTGTTGGTCCTTGATCATATACCACATCCTGAAATGGATGAACATCGACTAATTCTTTTTGGTACAGTGACTCTGTGTATTCCCCTCTATCTTCTTTTGACATTTCCTGCATCATTCAGTATTTTGCCCACAGAATCTTTCAGTATTTCAACTTGAAGCTTGAATTTTTTCTTCAGTTCCTTCAGCTTAAGAAATGCAGAGTGTGTTCTTCCTTTTTGGATTTCTAACTCCAGGTCTTTGCACATTTCATTATAATAATTGACTTTGTCTTCTCGAGCTGCTCTTTGAAATCTTCTGTTTAGCTCTTTTATTTTTTCATTTCTTCCATTTACTTTAGCTACTCTCCATTCAAGGGCAAGTTTCAGAGTCTCTTCTGACATCCATCGGTCTTTTCTTTCTTTCCTGACTTTTTAATGACCTTTTGCTTTCTTCATGGATGATGTTCTTCATGTCATCCCACAATTCCTCTGGTCTTCAGTCACTGGTGTTCAATGTGTCATAGCTATTCTTTTGATGGTCTCTATATTCAGGTGGAGTATAATCAAGGTCATATTTTGGCTCTGGTGGACTTGTTTTAATTGTCTTCAGCTTCAACTTGAACTTGTAATATGAACAATTGATGGTCTGTTCCACAGTCAGTTCCTGGTCTTGTTTCGGCTGAAGATACTGAGCTTCTCCATTGCCTTTGTGCACAGATATAGTCGATCTGATTTTTGTGTATTCCATTTGGGGAGGTCCACATGTATAGCTGCTGTTTATGTTGTTGAATAAATATATTTGCAATGAGTAAGTTGTTGGTCTTGCAAAATTCTATTATGCAATCTTGAGCGTCATTTCTATCACTGAGGCCATATTTTCCAACTACTAGTGATTCTTCTCTGTTTCCAATTTTTGCATTACAATCACCAGTAATAATCAATACATATTGATTGCATGTTTGGTCAATTGCAGACTGAAGAAGTTGGTAAAAATAATCTTCAAAATCCTTTTCTTTGGCTTTAATGATTAGTGGATAAATAGCATTAACTGGTCTTCCTTACAGGCATATGGATATTATCCTATCACTGACAGCATTGTACTTCAGGACAGATCTTGAAACATTCTTTGTGACAATGAATGCAACATCATTCCTCTTCAATTTTTCATTCCTGGAATAGTAGATCATATGATTCTCTGATTCAAGATAGCCAATACCAGTCCATTTCAGCTTGCTATTGATCTTTCTGCCTTCCATTTCATTTTTGACAACTTCCAATTATCCTAGATTCATACTTTGCACATTTCATATTACAATTATTAATGGATATTTGCAGCTGTTTCTTCCCATTTTGAGTTGTGCCCTATCAGCAAATGGAGATCCTGAAAGCTTTATTCCATCCAGGTCATTAAGGTCAACTCTACTGTTACCAGGCAGCTCTTCCCCAGTGATATTTTGAGTGAATTCTGACCTGAGTGGCTCATCTCCCAGCACTATGTCAGACAATGTTTCAGGGCTATTCATAAAAGTTTTCCAGTAATATATCAGACAATGTTTCACTGCTTTTCATAAAATTTTCACTGGCCAATTATTTGAGAAGTGAATGGCCCTATCCTTCTTACCAGTCTTTCTTAGTCTGGAAGCTTTACTGAAACCTGTTGACCATGGGTGACCCTGTTAGTATTCGAAATACCAGTGGTATAGCATCCAAACTCACAGCAACATGCAAGCCACCACCATACAACATACTGACAGATGAGTAGTGGATTAGTTTGCTAGTGTTTATCTAATAACTCTTGAAAAGGGTTTGTTTTTTGGGTACTTTTAAAGTAAATTACAGAACTATATTATATAATAAATTTGATTCACAGAATTATTCTAAATTTCATTAATTCATTAATATCCACATATCTATAAACTATTAGGTGTTTGCATTTCCAATGACTTTCCTATTAGACAATAATAGGAACACATAAATAACATCTCTCCTCATTTAAGTAATGAAAAAATGAACTTGCTTGACTCTGGAGTACTAACAAAATATAAAGATGATTAATATATTGCTTTTACTAATAGTCTAATACTTCTATTATGCTATCAATCATTACATTGAAAGTCCAAGTTTATCATACAGAGGTAATCAATTTTAAAAAATAATAAAATAATATAATAGATTTTTATGTTAATGCATTCTCATTTTCTGTTCTATTTTATTTCACTTTCATAAAGGATAAAGATAAATTAACATTTAAATAACATTAATTGTCTAGTTAAGGTACACAAGTACAATCAAAGACAACACATTAATGTACACTGTCTCTCTCTTTTCTCTCTTACTTTCTGTATCTCTAAACGCACACACAGGACAGTAGGCTTAAGGGTGGTAAAAGGTTAGATGGTGTGGTCAAACATTTTATGATTATGATTCACATGAGAAGCTTAAATGACCTCTGGTTCATTCAGCAAAGACCACAAATAAACCAAGTGCAATTATACCAGTTTGGGGAAACCACTATTTTCATAATTTTATCAAGTACATAAGGGAACTCTGAGGAAAAATTTTAAAATACAGCATTGCATAATGTAAATTTTCTGTCAAGAAAAGTAGTAAAAGTGTATTTTGTTCACTTATATTTAGAGAAAGTCACAAAATACTTTGTGATTTTAATAAAAATAATGATTAAGTCAAGAGAACAGATCCTAATACGAACTGATTAATATTAAAGATAATTTACACTACCTTATGAAGCATATTTTCTACTGTTTTCATGTAACTGGCAACACATTCTTTGTCTCTAAAAAAAAGGTAAAGAAAAAGTTAGGTGTTAATAAAACACAAGCCTTACCAAGCTTTGTTTAAAAAAAAAAAAAAAGGATTGGTTATCATGGTTCTCCTTTTAAAAATGTAAGTATTCAATAGTGTATTTCCATGTTTAATCTTATCCTCAATTATGTTGCCACCCTAAATTGGGGCAGGGGACACTGAATTATAGCTTCAAAGTTAAAAAAAGAAATCACAACATTATTGATAATGAAAAATACGCCCAAGAAAGTTTGATTCTTTTGACTTCTAATGAAAAATCTTAAAATCTTAGTGATGGAGATATCTTATAAATGACCATACTATGAACAAGGGAATCTCCTTTCTCCCTAGGCTATTTGTACTATAATAATTGTCTTGACCAGAAATATGCAATGTTTCTACCTTTTTCACTTTGGCTGTTATGTGCCATCGAATCGGACCCGACTCATAGTGACCACTCCTTGGGTTTCCGAGGCAGTATCACTACAGAAGTAGATTGCCCAACCTTCCTTCCAAGAAGTGGCTGGTGGTTACTTTGGCTAGACATATACAATGTAGCTAGCTTCTTCTATCAGTCTTATACATTGAATTTATCTTTAATAATGAAATTAAAAGTTTAAATGAAAATGCCAAAGACAAAACTTTAATGGTAATTATGAATTGAAAACTATATATAATGTATTAGCTCAAGTTTCAAGTTAGTGTTTTAGTTTTATATAATATGTGCCCACGTCACAGTTTCTCAAATACCGGATAAACAACAATGTTTTGAAGAAAGGAATGATGAATCTAGAGGTTTTATAATCTTGTTTCATTGACATTAGAATTTTCAGAACTATAAGGTGCAGTAGAAATTATGTAAGCTAAGCTCCTCATTTGACATAATGAAACCGAGTCTCAACAATGACAATAAAAAACTGATTTAGGTAAAAATATTTTTTTAAATGACAGTGGCATATACTAGTATAGCACAAAGTCATATAGCTTCACAATTTTCCCCAAAAAAAATTGGTGAGTGTTTAAACACACCAATATTTTGGCTTTATGTCAACTCAGATTTTCATTTTGTGAGAGAAATTTCCCAAGGCTACTTTCAAAGCTTATGGGTATCCTAAGATTGCAGATTCCGCATTCTGTCATCTAGTTTATAGATTACATTCATATTTCATGATATTTTATAATTGACAAGAGACTCTCTCAAAAAAAAAAAAAAAAAAAAACTTTTAATTAACATATAAATTGTTCCAAGCTCAGGCATTCAGAATTCCAAATTTAGAAAACACTGAGATTATTAAAATTTCTGTAATCCTTAAATAGACTGTCTTTTAGCCATGCTATTATATACAAAGGACTGTCTTAAAGCAGTCCATGAAATCTGATATGGGAAACAAACAAACAAAAAAAAACTGCCCAAGAGAACCGTTCAATTTGAACTTCACAGTGTATGTCAACTTAATTACCTGGTAAAAGGAAAAACACTCTGATAATAGTTAAATAGTAGTTCATGCTGAAACCAGTACACTCTTTCTATTTAATATATTAGTATATATAACTAAGAAATTAAAATGAATTTGCCATTTACAATATTTTTATTGCATTTATAAAGATGCCATGAATATATGCTAATTGTATACTAACATTTACTCATTAAAATATTATTTGCAATATTAGTATAATATATGCAAGGCAAAATATTAGAGGTGGTGAGGCACATGGGATGAGGAATATGCAAGAGAAGAAACTATGCAAAACTTTTAAATAAAGAATCTTACATTTCACATTAATAAAAATAAGGACTCAAAGATGTATCACTACAACAGAGCCCCAAACACACATAATTAGAAGCTGTACAGCAACTTATACTTTTCTAAGGTTTTGCCATAAAATATACATTTAGTATGTTAAGAGTGTTCTTTTTTGAAGATGTATCAGAGAATTTCAAAGAAAGACAGCTGTACTTTTGTTTTCTAACACTGTATTATCCAGGGCTAAAACCCGGAGCATGAAAGTAAGAATTGATCTTTTGTCTGTTTTAAGTGATCTCCCCAAGGTCCAAATGCTCACTTGGCTGCCATGCAGAGGGCACTTTCTGCATCATGGATGTTCTTCTCCAGTCGACGCTTGTCCTGCTCCAGCTGGGTAAGATGTCTATTGAGCTGACGCAGAGATTGATCTTTTCTTCTCAGCTCCATCTTTGCCTCGGAGAGACTCTGCAAGCAGACAGAAAACAGAGTTACTTGTCAGCCCTGATAATTAACTTCAATTTATGCCATAGGCTATTAAACAAAGAAGAATACAGACTGACTGAGAAGTAGACTTGAGTCATTACACATCAAGGTTTAACAAAATGTGTGCAAAAATTTTACATACTTACTAATTAGAAATGATAGAACTGATAAGATTTTGAAAGATGTTTGGCTATAGAATACAACTCTTATATTTTTTTAAATATTGCAAGATAAATATGTCTTACTAAAAATATCTTATTGTTATAATCATAAGCGGTGTTTGTTTTAAAAATGAAAAAAAATAGAGATTTCAAGGGGGAAAGAGCATGTAAACTATTTAAAACTAAATAAATATGAACATTTAAAACAGCAGCTATTATATGTCGTGTGTGTGTGTGTGTGTGTGTGTATGAGAGAGAGAGAAAGAGAGAGAAATTGTAAGGAAAGTGGACTGGAACAAGGCAATGGGGAACTCAAAATTAAAAAGTACCACTGTTGTTGTTGTTGTTATGTGCCGTCAAGTCGGACCCGACTCATAGCGACCCCTCCTTGGGTTTCCGAGGCAGTATCACTATGGAAGTAGATTGCCCCATCTTCCTTCCGAGGAGTGACTGGTGGGTTTGAACCACCAGCCTTCTGGTTAGCAGCCAAGTGCCTTAGCCACTATGCTACCAGAGCTCCCGAAAGTACCACTACTTTCTTTTAAATATAATACTCAGATTGCTATAGACATCTCAGTGGAAAAACTGGACTCCAAAATAAAATTCACTGGCTTCTAGGTAAATGAATGTAATGTCGAGAATAGCAACACAAATGTGATCAACAAGTTTCAACTAACAGAGAAAGGTATGAATACTGCTCTCATTGAGAACTGTTTATATTCCATAAGTTTTTCTTAATCGTAGAAGCATAACATCTATTGATCAGTATTTACTGTCATCTGAAATATTCACTTAATACTAAAATTTAAAGATGCAACTGCACAACTTTCTCTTCAAAGTTTAGGCTTTAAGGTCTTAGAATCAGACACTCACCATTTAAAGGAGTATTTGTTAGATCTCTTTTAAATGGTAGACTCCAAAGTAATATCAGGAAAAGGAATTTTTCTCTTAGCACTGAAAATCTGCCCGTTCCTTTGCCTATGAAATTTCTAGATAAGAACTTACCAAACAGTTTTTCAATTATATTTGTTAGACAGTGAGCTAAATGAATGATTGCATATACATAATGTTTTTTTTCTTCTTGCTCAGAGTTTACCCTCACATTATTAACATCCACAAGTATACTTCAAAAAACTCTAGTAAGGAGTAACAAAAATGATTTTTAAAAACATTTTATGCTTAAAACTCTTCTACCAGTATTCTTTTAAAGCATACACAATGGGTAGTATAAAAAACTCAAGCTGTCTACATGAAGCAAAAACAATTATTTCATTCTAATCACTGGTGGGAAGGAAGGTTGGGCAATCTACTTCCATAGTGATACTGCCTTGAAAACCCAAGGAGGGGTGGCTATGAGTCAGGTCCGACTCAACGGCATATAACAACAACAACAATCACTAGTGGATTGAAAGCAATCGTCAGTTAAACCAGGTAGCTAAAAATGTTAAAAGTTTTTAAATTCTGTAGTTCATTTTTCAAACAGTTAAGTTGCTGTTAGAAAAATACAAGTCAAAGAAGTAAAAATAAGCAAACTGTAATTGCTTATTGGATATTACATTTTATTTGAAATCATTAGTATTAACAGATCTTCAAGTACATCCCACTATGGGAACAATCACTAATTCAAAGCAATTTTTAAAAAAAGGTAAAGAATAGAATTTTTAAAAAAACAAGCTATGCTAATTATTACTTTTTGGGCCAATATTAAGATATTTAAAGGCACTGAAGAAGTATCATGAGATTTCCTTATTGGAAAAAAAATATATCCACTTTAGTCCTTTTAAAGCCAGTATTTCTGACATCTTTCAGGCAATAAAAAATGATATTTTTCAGATATGAAGATAAAATTAATGATCCACTACAGTTATGCATAAAGCTTGAGTTCTTTTTCCAACAGAAATAATAAATTTGTACCAATCTATCAAAGTATCTTGCTTAGTAACTCTTATGAGTTGAGGTGTAAATCTGTGAGTGGGCTTCCCAGGGTTCAGTCTATTGTCTCCAGCCTTGCCCACACTGAAGCTCACTGGTCTAATATGAGAGAACCCATGACCTTGGAATCATTATAAAACCACACCTGACTTTCCAGCAATCCTATGATACTTGTCACAGAAGGCATAAAACAGCATTAAGATTTCTACTATATATCTAAGTTTTCTTGTTTCCATTGTTTTCCATTTTCATCTCTCAGAAACAATGACTGGGAACCACCAAACTCTACTATGCCACTATTTCAGGGGCACAGCTGAAAAGCCTATCTGAGGACTTTGAAATTACAGAAAAGGAACAAAAAGTGGTATAAACAAACTGGTAGAAGTCACACTTCTTTGTGAATATAAAAGGTAATGTGTTTTTAAAAAAAAAATCATAGTTATATGACTTATAAAGAAAGAATTCTTATATTAAACAATTGAGCAATATCATAAAGGAATCTATATACATCAATAGGTCTTAAGGGTCATGAGGATATATATTGAGACATCAAAAATGATTCAAGGATATGTCCTTTTCCTAATATTCACATATCTTGTTTTTATGACAAAAGCAGAATCTTTAAAGATTGTAAAACCCAGCTTTAAAGAGAAAGACATATATTTACATATGTGTATACATCATATATATATATTTTTTTACATATGGATCTCTACATATTTACATATGTAATATCATATATACATATTTCAAACTTCTATCTATCTAGTCTTAAGTCCAGCTTTTTTCCCTCCTGTTCACATTGATCTAATTAAAACCCATTATAAACTTTATGGACTCTAATATTTCCAACCAAATAACTGAAACCAAGAGGGTGTGCTCCAGGCAGCAAGGCAACAATGAGAAGCAGCAGGTTAGCCACTAATTTCTCAACCAGGGTAGATTGTGAAAGTGTGATGTTCTGATATCCAAGAAACTGTTCAGGAGAGAATAGGATAAATCAAGTTTAATAACTCTGCTCCTAATTGTTCCCCCAATGCTCAACTCTAATTACTTGGAGAACTCTCCCGACTGTCACCTGATATTAAGTTGTTGGAGGCTGAGCCTGGAACAGCGAGATAATCAATAAACATTTAGTGGGGAGAAGAATGAAGATCCTGTTAAGCAGTGGGAACCTGCAGCACCCAAAGCCCTTCTGCTCATGAGAAAACCTATGGGACAGCCATAGTGATTGCAAAGCAATAATCCAAAGCACTGTTTTTAGGCCTTGAGGCCTTTAGGCAACAGTACATTTGAGGAAAAAAGGTTAACACGGTCACCCTAATTACAGCCCGCTTTCACATACTTCATATATAAGCGAAGACAAGCCAATTAGGTAGAAAGGAAGATAAGAGAAGTTTTATTTGTATACTAATTAAACCCCTGATGAAATTAAAGGAAAAACATACAGCTCTGTAATTGTGTCTGAGAAAGGTCACTTCAGGTTCAGTTATCAGAACAGCACAGCCTTGAGATATTTCACTTAATCCACAATACAGCTCTCATTTTGTACTCAGGTCTTAATATTTACCAAAAAAATCAAAGCCTGATAGTGCATTTATCTTTAAACATTGTTGTGAACAATTTTAACTGTTAGAAAGTTAATGCTAAATATGAGAACAAGCATCTTTAAAAAGTAGAATAATACTCCTCCTATACAAGAACCAATACCACAATATTATTTATCAAAGATGCTGAGTTTTCACTTTAAATCCAAAATGTTTACAAGGCAATTTGCACACCCAATTCCAAACTGATTGTATTTCACAAGGTATTATGCAGTATATTGCTGCTGCTGTTTTCAGGAAATAATATCATTGCCCACTTTCAGGTACACCTCTCATAGTCCAGGAAACACCAGCCAATGCTTTCACCAAATTACTCCTAGAAGAAGATATTTACATCTGGTTGTTTATCTAAGATGATTATGAAAAGCTATTTACGACTAGTGGAAGATGGCAGGACCAGTATGGAAATAGTGAAATGTAAGAAAAGTTTAGGGGCAGAATATACGAAAAATGTGATTAAAAACAAGTTTTGAATATAAATGAAATTCTATCTACTATTTTTCATTTGTGAAAATGAAATTTTTCATTTGTGAAAGAAGTTTTTCTTGAAGTTCTTCAAAAAAAAAAAAAAAAAATCTTACCAAAATACCACGGCTATTTAATATAGAATTCTGCTTTATTATTTCAGCAAACTCTAATTAAAAATTACATGAGATATACAAGGTTAAAATTTGCTGGATGATAATTTTAAAATTATAAAATTGACAAAACAAATTCCCTGGAACCGAGTATTTGCTTAATAAATATGGTATATTAAAAAGTTAAAGTTATCTGAAAGGATGTGCACATCTCTCCAGTTAATATTTCTGGATGTCAAGGGAATCGTCCAACAGAGTTCCTTCTCATGAGGGTGCAGTACAGCAGTACTTCAGACCATTAGGCCAGGTAGGAAGACTGCACCCCAGGGGATATCGCTTTTATAGATCTTCTTTTGTCTATTGGGAAATATCTATGGATCCACATTCCTAAAGACTAAAAGCTAATGGCTTATTCAATTTGGTATAAAAAGTCAGTCATACAAAATAAGAGCAAGACAACACAAGTGTTACAGAGAACTAAGCTACATTTCTTAGATCAGAGGGAAAATGCTATATGATTTTTTTTAAATAGCATTTACTATTGTCTGGCTGCAACTTTGAATAAAGTTTCCCAGATTGAGATATGTTGAAGAAAACATCTCAAGGCACTAAAATTAATATTGGAAAAGGAAATAGTGCTGTCTGTCTTCAGGACTACAATTATAATGTGACAACTACAAAATTATATTTAATGCAGATTAAAC